GATCGCACTGGGGCGTGCTTTGTACCTGTATTAGGAGTAGGTCTGCCCACCAACCATGGGTGGCACTGCCAACCTTGGGTGGAAACAGCTGTCACCATGTCACCCCCAAAATGTCACAGGTTGTGAACTCCTGACTCCGAACTTCCCCATTGGTGGTAGGCAGCAGGGGACACTGGGTGGATCAGGGAAGGCTTTGTGGAACTGAGGGACAGGGGGCTGTCTGGGATCCCGGTGGGGCAGGCAGGCAAATGGCAGGAGGTGGGACTGCGCATGCATCCAGGCTTCCAGCCCCTACGTAAGTTCCATTGTCCCATTGCACTTCACTTACAAAGGCTCAAAGGTAGAATGGTGGAAGGATGTCAAGATGGAGGCCTTCCTGAGTGCAGGACCCTGTTGTGTGACTGTGCCAACCACACACCCATGAAGTCAGCTCTGGGCTGTGGAAAACCAAAGAACTACAAGAAATGATTTCTGTGCCCAAGGTACTTATGTAAGAGACAAGGAACAAGATATTATACAATAACCTACGATAGATAACATGTCAACCTAGGCTGTTTCACAAACAAGTCATTTGTGATCAGTGCTTTCACGAGACTGTACACTTTCACTTTGTAAATTAATAAAGTAAAAAAATAAAGGTGTCTTCCTTTACCTCTCTCACGTATCCCCCAAACTCATGACTCAGCAGGGTGTGTGGCTGAGCTAAGGGGACACCCTCACTTGGGTACACTTCGGAATCTTCCATGTGCAAAATTTTCCCTGCAAGGGAGGCCTATGGGAAAGCAGGGGAGGAGGAACCAACCCAGCCCTGTGGTCTGAAATCCAAGTTGTTGAAGGAAAATCGATTTGATGGAAGTGAAAAAGTGGGTCAGCAACCATGAAGCCAGAGCAGGCCAGGGTGTGAGTGTGGGCAGGTTGGCAGAGGTCAAGTCCAAGTACCGGGCTGATCTGCTGGTGGAAGAGGAACTGGACCTGGAATGACAGAGGACATTAGAGAGCACTCCCATTCCAGAGGGGAAATGAGTTCTTGGAGAAAGCAGAGGAAAAAGCTCCCTCCCTCCAAGACTGCACAAGCCATTAAGTACCTCGCTTGCAGCTTTGGCACCCTGAGCCCAGAGAGTGAGCCCGCTGCATCGCAGCTGGGTAAAGATGGTCCTGTTTGGTCCCCACCCCCACTCCCTGTGCCTTTCATCCCAAAGCACGTGTGATGGCCACAGAACTACCCAAAGCAATTTGAGCTGCCTTTTCCTTTTCTTCTTTTAGACAAATTCAAAGGTATTTGGCATATTCATCAAGTTCATCAGCCAGGCAGGGGGCTTGTGACCTAGAGCAGGTGTCAGCAGGGTGCCAGCACTTTATATTCTTGGTGTGGTGCTATAGGACCAGCACTGAACTGTGAACCACAAGGAAACCCGATACAGGGTCCCTGTGAGTTGGAAGTGACTCGGACAGCACTCACTTAACCTCCATAGTCAGTGTTTCAGTGAACACTTACAGAGCCCTTGCTCTTTTCTGTGTGTGGGTGCAGGCATATGTGAAGACTGCCCTCTGTCCTGGCCTCGTCTCTTATGGTTACAGGACCAGAGCAGGGGTGCTGCTGGGGTCTGCTCCCCAGTCATTTTACCTGGTGGAGAAAACTGCTTCTACTTATAAAACAAAACTAGAAATTGTGGGTTTGTATTATCAGGCGATTGAAATATAAATAGTCCCAATGGTTATACTTGATGGGTGGTGGAGAGACTGTTGCCATCGTATAGGGAGCAGGGCAGAGCAATTGCTGCTCCTGTAAAGGTTTGCAGATGTTTCCTTCAGTGCTTAAAAGCGTAGGGCAGGTTGGTTGGATGATTTCATTAGAAGATGAAATAAATTTGACCTAATAGTCTGAAGCAGCCATAAAATCAACAACAAAGGTTGTATGGGCAGAAGATCCGAAAGAGGAGTGCAGTGGGATTGTTCAACGTTTAATAAAAACAAAAGAGAAAAACTAATCTCAAGAGCACTTTTTTACAAGTGTGATAGAATGAGGAGCTGAGGAGATGAGGTGGCTAGATGTTAGAGATGGGTGTTTGTAAAAGTAGAACAGACCTCTACATGGGGTTCCATTGAAAGGAAAGACAAACAATGAATGAGGTGTTTACTCTTCCTAACAGGAAACACTCTGAATTAACTTTGCTCTCTTAGGATGCTCTTTCAAAGGATGTTTGAAGCTTCTGTTGTCTAATGGCGGAGGAGCCATGAAGGTGAATGCAGCCACTTGGTTTATAGAGGATTGTGGCCCAAGGAGAGAGGGGGTGAAGAAAGATAGCCCAGCCGTGGCCCTGGCCTGTTTTTCCTACTGGACAGGGTAGTACCAACCTTTCCAATCACTGGGTTGGATATATTCCAGGGGAGAGGAATATCGATTTCTTTTTCGAAGCTACCTTATCAAACTTCTATGCTGATAGTTTCAGCTGCCATCAACTCCACTCTGACTCTTGGAGACTGCACATGTGTCAGAGTAGAACCATGATCCTTACTGTGGTGCTGTGGGTTAACGCACTGGACTGCAAAGTTGGTTTGAACCGCAGGGTCGGAGATTCAAGCTTACCAGCCGCTCCTTAGATACCATACACGGGGTCGCTATGGGTCAGAACCGACTCAACGGCACTCAACAACAACATCAATCTTCATGGGAGGCTCTGTAGGATACGGACTGGACTACCAACCACAAGGTCAGTGGTTCAAGCCCACTAGCCGCACCACAGAAGAAAAAGGAAGCTTTCTGCTCCCGAAAAGATGTGCAACCTCGGAAACCCTATACAGGGTCTCAGTAAGTTGGAACCGACTTGAAGGCATGTAACAACAGCAACCACATAGGTTGTCAGGCCTATCTGTGGATTCAAACTTCAAGCTTTCAGTTAACAGCTGAGTACATTAGCTGAGTACACCACCCCAGGACTCCCAGCTGTGCAGTTGTTGTGTGCCCTTGTTGAATCTGTTCCAACTCACAGTGATTCAGTATGACAGAGTGGAACTGCCTCCTAGAATTTTCTAGGCTATAACCTTCAGCAGAGCAGATTGCCTGATCTTTTCCCTTTCACAGCTGCTAGTGGGTTAGAATCACTGCCCTTTCTATTAGCAGCCAAGCATTTACCCATTGTGTCGGCTGTGTACCGTGTCCGGCTGTGCTATGCTCGGGGCTCAACACAAACCTTTCTGCTGGTGTGGATGTTTGCCATCCTGTTCTTTAATAGCATTCGTGTAGCAGGTCATCCCTGCATCTGCGTAAATGTTTGCTTTTCTCCCAAACCTTGACTGCTTTAGAATTTTTTTGTTTGTATGTGTTTGTTTTGGAGACTTTGAGCTTCACAGTCTTACAAGGCCCCAATTCACAGAGTCGTTTTAATGTGTATTGGGAGCCAAGTGTGCACTAGTCATCGAGGGGAGCGTGGCTTCTCCAAGATCCTGCTTCCTGAGAGCCACAAGAAATAGGGAGAGGGAAGGGGAAAATCACTGAGGAAATGTTTGTATGTTCCTAGCAATCTGTTCAATGGAGTCGCCAGGGTGTGGCAAGATGGCTCATTTAGTTCATAAGAGGTTAGGCCCACCAATAACTTGAATGCTTGAGTCTTTCAAGACAACTCTGCAAATAGAAGGTGTTTGGTGAATTCCACGTGTGCAGAACCATGGTCTGGGTATCTGGGGACAAAGAAAGATCTGGCAAAAAAGGTGTCTGTTTTTAAAATTTCCTAGGGGTCAGGTGAGACCCAAATAAACAAAGATACTGCACAAGCAATGAAAACATTTTTAACAAAACATAAACAACTTTGAGGACCTATGTTGTAATGAAGTAACATAAGTGGAGAGATGGTAGAAAGTCACAAGCCACCAGAGTTGGATGGAGATTTAGGAACAGTGAAAGTAAAGTTGCAGGTTTTACAAGAGGGCTGTAGGATCGTATCTGTAACGAGTGAGCAAGTGCTTAGTAAACCAATGTTGTCTATTAAAAAAACATGGAAGGAGCGTCGTCAGATCTGTTTTAATCTTGGTCTAACCTGAGTTGCATGTTTGGAAAACCTCATGTGTGTCAGACTAGAACTGTGCTCCATAGCATTTTCAATGACTGGGTTTTCAGAAATAGACCCCCAAACATTTCTTCTGAGATGCCTCTGAGTTCAAGCGAACCTCCAACCTTTATGTTAGCAACTGGATATATGAACCACTTTTACCTCTCAGGAACTCCTGAAGCTGAAGGCAAGAGGCTAAAGCACTAGCAGCCCGTGAGCTTGAATTATATTTTACATGGTTCAGAACTGAAGGAACTTGTGCAGATTCCTCTTCTTCATTGGCTAGGATTCTATCCCACCCACAGACATCATACTGAATAAAGACATTCCAGACTGGACCTGGTATAGCAAGTGTGTAGGCCTTGTTTTGTTTGTTCAAATTCTTTCACCTTAACTTGGTTAGAGAGTGTATTTGGTCATACGTGTGTGAAACACCCAAATCTGGAAGCCAAAAAAAGATGCAATACGTGAGCTTGGATAGAGTAGAGTATTTGGACGCCAAACTTTCAAGGAAAAAAAATACACGGGCAAACTGCTTGCCATTAAGAGATGTTTTCTTGGCACAGATGATCAAAGTGTATGCAAGCCTGATAGCTTTCTCCAGGCATCAATTGTCATGAACTTGATCAAGTCATGAACTTGAATCAAGTTCATGACCATCTAGGATTTCCCACCTTCTAGTCAACTTTCAAAGGACAGAGTTAACTGTGTGCCTCAAATGGAGTTGGAAATACTTTGTTAATCTCTGTTAATTTCCTACTCTTGTAACCAAATGCACATTTGTTCTTTTCTTTTTGCTGGCTAAATTATTAATGGTATTAAATTGGCCCTTAGAAACTAAACCATTCTGTGGCTGTTTATCTTATGACTTCTTGGGATTATCTCATGCTGTGGTCTCTTTTGAGAAAACAATGGATTTTTATCATTTTCAATGATTGCCCTAACTTTTTACAGATGCCATCCCGCCCACTTTCTACAGACCCTACTTCAGAATTGTGCGATTTGATGTCTCAGCAATGGAGAAGAATGCTTCCAATTTGGTGAAAGCAGAGTTCAGAGTCTTCCGTTTGCAGAACCCAAAAGCCAGAGTGCCTGAACAACGGATAGAACTGTATCAGGTAACTTGTGTTTGAGTTGTTTAAAGAGCAATTCAGTTTGAGGTCTTAGAGAAAAAGACTTTCTACTGCCTTAGATTGTTTTCCTAAATTATCTGATATAAACCATCCTACACTGCCCTGGTATAGCACTGTGGGGTAATTAATGCATTGGACCACAAGATCAGTTTGAACTGCAAGGTCAGCGATTCAAGTTTACCACCTGCTTCTCAGAAACCCTATACACGGTCACTGTGAGTTGGAACTGACTCGATGGCACTTGATAACAACAACAACCTACATTCAAAGTCAAGATAAAAACCCAGTTGCTACGAAGTCTGTTGTAATTCATGGAAACCCTATGCAGGGTCACTGTGAGTCGGAACCAACTCAATGGCACTTAACAACAACCACAAATGCCCTGGGTCCGGAGATGGAGGCAGATGTGTAAATCAGACCCACCAAAACCTACTACTATCAAGTTGATTCCAACTCATAAAGACCCTCTAGGACAGAGTAGAGTGACCCCCAGAGCGCTTCCAAGGCTGGACATCTTTGTGGCAGCAGACTGCCTCATGACTTTCTCCCATGGAACAACTCTCTTCGCTTCACAGCCAAGCACTTTAACCACTGTACCACCAGGACAGTGACCGTCAAGTCCATTCCAACTCATGGTGACCCCGTCTCTGTCCAAGTAGAACAGCACTCTATAGGGTTTTCCGACGTTAGTTAGTTAGAAGTAGATCATCGGAGGTTGTTTTTGTTTGTTTTCTGAGGTGCCGCTGAGTGGACTCAAACCATCAACCTTTTGGTTAGCAGCTGAGCACATTAACCATTTGCACACTCCAGGGACTCCAATGTATCAGTAGCTTAAATAATTCATAGTACCCCATGAGCAGTGGTAGTGTAGTGGTTATGAATCAGGCTGCTAATCATATGATCAGCAGTTTGAAACCACCAGCTGCTCCATGGGAGAAAGATGAGGCTTTCTGCTCCCGTAAAGATTTACAGCCTCAGAAACCCTGTACAGGGTCGTTATGTGTCGGAACTGACTCCACGGCACATAACAACAACCACAAAATCCCATGAGCAGTGTGTGCAAGTATAGAAGGCAGAGTAGCGAAGACTTCTTTTACCAGGGAGTTGAGATGAATGTGTTAAAGCTGTTCAAAGAGTCTTGAATGGTGCTTTTAAAGTCACCTGATGCTTCAAGCAGAGGGACTGGAGATAAAAGAGTGGCCAACGAGATGGCTGTGCTCCAGGGAGGATGTGTAGAGGGAGAAGAAAAGGGGATCAAAAAGAGACCCTGATGCACCCCAATGCTAAGGAGCAGACGTGCATGACAGTATGAACAGCGAAGTGGGTATGTTTGAGGAAAAGTAGAGAATTGATGCCTGTATACACTATATACGGAAGAAACTTCCAGTTATTCTGGATTCTAATCATCTGGGAATTTCTATAACATGGAGAAGAATTTTCTCTGCATGTATTATGAAAATGGAGATATACTATGCAAATAAACCTTGCATGTGAAATCTCAGTGAGTAACTTTAAGATTTTAAAGCAGTTTTGAAGTACGAATTTATAGGTGTGTTCATGAAAAACTGATCTTATTAAAATATGGGTCCCCAAAGTGTGGCGGTGTGGGTTAATGTGCCAGACTGCAAAGCCGTTTGAATTGCAAGGTTGGCAGTTCAAGCTCACCAGCTGCTCCTCGGAAACCCTGTTCAGGGTCGCTATGGGTCGGAGCCTACTCAACGGCACTTAACAACAAGAACCTCCCCTTAGAGACATTCAGATCTTGCTACTATATGCTCTGAGAACCCATGAAGGTGTCCCTGTAGCTGGGAGGCCATTATTAGTTCTCATCAACTGGCAGAGTTAGACTGACCTAGAGAGGGCTCCCTGTGTTCTAGACACCACTCTGAGCACTTCTTAAATCTTACCTTTGTTAACACTCACAACAGTGTTGCAAGGTGTGCACTATGCAGTGTCCTTTCCACTACTGTTGTATTCTTGCTCTCGCTTAAGGAGAAAGGCTCTGAGCCACAGAGAAATGAGGTCACTTGGCCAGGGTCACACCGCTATGAAGTGGTAGGGCTGGGCTACGAGTCCACGCTGACTCCTAAGTCTCTACTCCTCACCAACTACTCTGCTGCTCATAGCAACTTGTTCCCTTCCTCTTTCCCTCTGGTTTAGCCAGAATAGAAGAAAAATAAGAGAAAGTAGGCCAGAGGGTGGAGTGATGCTTAGAGGGAAAGCAGTCTGGTTCCTCTGATGAAAAAGCCAGATTAAAGGTAGCCAAAGAAGTTGCCTAGTATGGTGTTGTAGGATCAGTGGTCAGTGGTTCATACACACCAGCTACCCTTGGGAACCCTATACAGGATCGCGGAGTTGGAACTGACTTGACAACATTAAACAACAAGAAGTAAGTTGCAAGTTGATTCAAAAGATGACAAAAACAGGAAATAAAATAACAATAGAAGACATGACCATATCCCCTTTACTGTGATGCTGTAGGATAAATACTGAACTGCTAACCACAATTTCGGCAGTTCACATCTAGCACTCATTCCTTAGAAACCCCAAGCAGGGTTACTATGACAGCAACTTGACAGCACTTAATAACAGCAACAGCGGCAGTCCAACTACCTCATTCTTCCACTTATTCTGACACCAGCTTCATTGACCATCCTCTCAGACTTTGAGTCAGTTACATGTTGTTGTTGTTTTTCCCAACTCATAGCGACCCTGTTTAGGGTTTCCGAGGAGCCGCTGGTGGGTTTGAATTGCTGACCTTGTGGTTCTCCGCCCAGTGCCGATCCTTCAGCGGCACACCAGGAATTTTGTTTCAGTTACATAGACTTTTAGTAAATTGAAGGCAGATTCTCCTAGGTTTTGTTGCCTGTAAAAGCAGCTGCTAAATCATTCTCATTATCCTGTCATTGTGCTCTGAGATGAGGCCTCTGGCAGGAGTGTTCCTTATTCCCGGAGATTTCCTAGTCTCTGGGAAAGGGGTGTGTCCTCTGAGGTTGACAATTGAGAGGCTCTTGGAGACTGTGTACCTCCTCAGCGGTTATGCCAGCAGTGACTGCCTCATGACATGAGCAACGAAGTCTGCATGGAGTCGCGTTCCTCAATCAGGAAAGATATAGAACGAGATGGAAACGTGTGATCTGGAGAGAGTGAATGTGGGCATCTCCGCTGTTACTGAACACAGGAATCTGGAGGGAGGTGGTTTTAGAGCAAAAATAAGGAAGAATAACATCTCCTTATCTCTTTAGAGCTCAGGTATGCAGCCTTCTTAGCTTCTGAAACTCAGCCAAGGTCCAGGATTTAGGTCAAAGAGACTTGAGAGTCCCTTAACAGAAGAACAAAGCATATACACAACTTACTTGTAAAAAAAAAAAAAAAGAATAGCTTTTAATCCTTCATTCACTTCTGACTCAGTTAATTATCTCGAGGATCATAAGAAGCTCTAAATTAGAGTTATATGTGAGGGGAGGAAGAGGGTGCTTGAGAAAATGCATCTACAGGCTGAGATTTTTGCCTGTGCACCACAGAGATACTGGCCCAGAATCCCAAGACACAGAAAGCAGTATCTATGGAGACAGTTTTCCTAAATCTTGACCTGTGTGTAGTTCCCTAGGCTATGCTAACAGACTCTAAATAGCATCTACTGGCATAATCCAGGTTTCATTGCAAAGGTACCTCAAGATTGAAGAGAATGTGAGAGGAATAAAGTTCTCTGACAGATGATGTGGAAGGGGCTAAAAAGATAGAAACTTAAGCTTTTCCAGATAGTAAGAACCCTATCTGGCATGTCTCTAAAGCTTATGTCAAAGCCTGCCTTTATTGGAATACTCTCAGGTAAAGCGCTTTTGAACCCACAAGATTCATTGTACTCTCAGCTCATTTGCAAATTGGAATACATCTTTTCCTTTATTATTAAGTACTCCTGTATGTATGTGTAAAATCATGCCCGGAGTTATGAGATAAAAATGAAGAAAAGGAAGGTGAACTCTCAAGTTGCATATTACCGTTGTAAGAAAGGACCCCCATACTGCCGTATGGGGTAAATCTTACAGGGTTTGTTGCTGTTAGCTGCCTTAGAGTCATGGACAATGCAACAAAATATTGGCTGGTCATGTATCATGAAAAAATGAAGCCCACAATGTGTAATAACTAAAGACACTAATGAGCTCGTGCCCATTGGAACCACTAAAGAGAACTTACTATTCGATATGCCAGTTTCACAGGACCTTGGAACTCTCAGGTATTTCTAGCTTACTCTCACTGCCTCACGGAGTCCTGGTGTGGCATTATTGGTTAATGCACTGGAGTGCAAGTCTGCTTGAGCCACATACAGGGTTATTATGGGTTGGAACCTGATTCTAAGGCACTTAACAACAACTCACTGACTCACACCCTTTTCACACATTTTGCTCATTTCTAATTTTACAACGTCTAACACAGTAAGTGTTGTGCCTTTCTAACTATTTCAGTTATCTGCTTACTGTATAGTGAATGACCCCAAAACATAGTGACTTCAAGTAACAACCATTTTATTACATCTCACATTAAAAAAAAAAAAAAATTAAGGCTTTTATTGTGGATTGAGTGAAAGTTTACAGGGCATATCATCAGTTTTACATTCAACAAGTCATATACCTTGTTTCATTACAATGATTATAATC